ATTAATCTAATTGCTTCAATGGGGGCGTAAAAAGTACCTAAATTCCACCTCCCCCCCCCCCCCCAAAAAAAAAGAAAAAGAAAACCCAACAAAACAAAACCCCACAAAATAAAAACCAACAAACAAACAACAAAGCAAAACAATAAATAAAACATACTCATCGAAAAACGGAAGGAAGAAAAGAGACAGATGTCCTAGATTGGCTAGATGAGCAGAGCGCCACGCCCCGTTGATGCAGGCAATGATTATATAAACAACGTAATTATTTACGGTCTCTGCATGCGACAGCGTGCGTGTCGAGAACTCACGACTGGGAAATATAAATAGAATTTTGTTCTTTTAAATTGGTCCGCCTAATCACCAGCAATATACGCCCCTCAATGCCTCTCCCTTGTATACAACAATGCACAAGGCAGGGCCTGATCTATTTTTTTAACATTATATATAACTCAGTATGTGGTCTCTTATAAATTTAACATCATATCACTCGGTGCATGGTCTCTTTATTTAACATTATATCACCCAGTGCGTGGTCTCTTTATTTATCACTATATCACTCAGTGCGTAGTCTCTTTATTAAACATTATATATCGCTCAAAGTGTGGTCTCTTTATTTAGCATTATAACACCCAATACGAGGGGCGATGATAATGTTCACTCGACCTACGTTTGAACACAGAAATGCACAGATAGTCCCCCCCCCCACACACACACACACACACATACACTTTGAGACACATACATATATTATATATGCATATATATATTTGTGTATGCATGTATGTGTGTATGTGTGTGTGTATGTGTGTGTGTGTGTGTGTGTGTGTGTGTGTGTGTGTGTGTGTGTATCCGTCTACTTGTGTGTGTGTATATGTGTGTATGTGTGTGTGCATGTGCGTGTATGTATGTGTGCGTGTTTGTATACATATATATATATATATATATATATATATATATATATATATATATATATCTATATATATATATATATATATATATATATATATATTATATATAATATATGAGAGAGAGAGAGAGAGAGAGAGAGAGAGAGAGAGAGAGAGAGAGAGAGAGAGAGAGAGAGAGAGAGAGAGAGAGAGAGAGAGAGAGAGAGAGAGAGAGAGAGAGAGAGAGAGAGAGAGAGAGAGAGAGACGTACTATACAAATAGACAGGTAGAAAATTCTTGAATAAAGAGAAGCACATCGACTACGTAACGGCCCTTAAGTGCTCGGAAAAAGCAAGATAGACACACAGAAAAATAAACTGCAATTTACATTACTCTTTATGGATCCCGTGGGGGACACACTATTAATATTGGTAATATTACATCCGTTTTAAAAACATGCTTCCGCTGGTCGCCACTGTGCAGCGCCCTGTTTTCTGGTGTGCGTATGACCGTGCGTGCTTGCGGGTGTGTGTGTGTGTGTGTGTGTGTGTGTGTGTGTGTGTGTGTGTGTGTGTGTGTGTGTGTGCGCGCTTTTTTTTTAGCTAGGGTAAATTGTGTCTTGCTCAAAGGCACACACCAGTGACCACCCATCTGACCCCGTGTCGCCGCACGTCTTGCTTGATGACATTATTGAGAGTCTGAACGTACTAACTACTCGGCCACTAGAGCCCCCAGAAACAAAGGGAAAGGAAAGATATCGAACCTTCAGTGGCACCCCCCCCCCCCAGTCATCCGCTCAGAAGGAGAGACGTGAGGATAAAGACACTCAAAAAGCCTGCAAACTATAGACTTCCTTTAAAAAAAAAAATATAGGGTGAATTTAATGCTCCGTTCACACAATTTAAATCATGTAGGAGGCAGGCTTCCGATCGTGTCTGTAGGGGCTAACCTAAGCTAACAAGGACACAACATCCCAACACAGAGACCGAGATACTCGATGAAGATTTCTCCTTACTCGGGAATCAAACTCGGGTCTCCTGCATGCGACAGCGAAGCGCCTAACCGCTAAACCACAGACGCAGGTACTCGACCAATGGAACCCCCAACAACGGGGGGGGGGGGGGGGGGGGGGAGTCGCATCTACCAGTGGCACCCTCAAGCCACCCACTCAGACAGAGAGACTTGAAGATATTAATACTCAGGATTTAGACAGAGTTTTACCGCATTTGCAACGCAAATAGGTCATATAGGTGTCGACGATTACAGGATGTCACTGGAGAATAACATACAAAGAAAAGAAGGAGGAGATATAAAGACGACCGATGTCGATAGGGAAGAAGGAGCAATTCACACCAGATCACCCGCCTACCACATGCATAAGGATACCCAGACAGACTGCAAACTATAGACGAAGGTGTGAACTTTTTTGAATGATAAAAGGACTGTAGACTGTTCTGAAATTCAAATGTTATAAGCTTGCCGTCTGTCATCACGAGGCAGTGCAACAAAATGCACAAGGCAGGGCAGCCAAACGGCTCTAAGACGTACTCTGAGTAGGCAACTTGTATACATTATGCATGCGCGTGTGAGTGAGTGTGTGCGTGAGTGTGTGTGTGTGTGTGCATAAGTGTGAGCGTGTGTGTGTGTGTGTGTGTGTGTGTGTGTGTGTGTGTGTGTCGCGGGCGGGGACGAGCATGCGTGGGCGAGAAGGAATGTGAGTGTGAGTCTGTGTGTGAAAGCGACATAAGTGCGAGGGTATAATAATAATGATGCGTGAGCGCGTCTTAGGCGACCGATTGTGTGCGAGTGCATCTGTGTGCACGTGAGAGCTATTAGAAGTAGACAAACAGACAGACAGACAGACAGACAGACAGACCGACGGACAGAGTGAGTGAGTGAGAGAGGGAGTGAGTGAGTGAGTGAGTGGGTGAGTGAGTGGGTGAGTGAGTGAGTG